TATTTAGTGTTTATATTTTAATTCTGAAAAAGGATTTTTAAATCTGTAAAAAAAAAAAAAAAGTAATTACGAAATTGGCGAATCAAAAAATTAATCACATTTCATTGATAAAAGGGGATAACTCCAGCATCGTAATTGCATCACCGTAAACAATAATATACACTCTAAAAAAAATATAGGTATACTCGTATATTTAACACATCACGAGTTTTAAACCATAATGTTAAATTCATACTCATATTTTTTACACACAATTATATTGTATTATAATATATGTAGTATAAGATACGAAATAATTCGGCATATACAAAAATAATATAATCTGCAGCATATTTTTCGAACTTTAATATAACAATCGCGACTCGTGCGTGGATCAGTTACGATCCAGCGTTAAATTTTCGCAAAATAACATCCGAAATAACAAACCGACATATTTAAAGGCCGTTTAAAGATCAGCAAGATCTGTCTCGACACGAAGGGCCAAGGGACAAGGTAGGTGATCGCGATAGCAGGTCGGATCCGTCTGCTATCGAGGGATAAAGGTGTCGGGGACGATATGACCGAGAAACCAAGTGACCCGGCGATACACACGCGAACGCCGGAGAGTTAACGGCGTTTGTCCGCACCTCCGCACCTCCGTGTACGCTCTCCTCCGTTGCCCGAGAGTCACCGGCGTCCTCCACGCCGGCGCGGCGGAACGAGCGAGGAACCGTTCCAGGACGGGGACCCGGTGTGCCAAGTGCGCGAGAATCCGGGTTGCAATCGCGGTCGCGACGGAAAAACCAGACGGCGGCGTATTCCGTCGTGCTAACACCAGCTGGAAACTCCACTTGTCGAGACGACGGCAGATGGAAGCTGCCTGAACCTGAACCTGTTTTCATTTCTATCGGGTAAATCTGGCGATAAAAATTGCAATAAAAATTTGAGAAATCAGTCCGTCGTATCTCTCTGTTTTATACGTTTCGTAAGTCAAAAGTTTGGAAATACTTTTACATAGATGAAATTTTTGCACGAAAAAAAAAAAAAAAACGATTTTGTTGCTCGTACAAATTTAAGTAAATATAGATCTCTGAAAAAAAAAAAAAAAACATTATTAAACCATTAAAATAGCTACGTAGGAAAAAAACTCAAGCGTGAGCAACGCTGCAAAAAGTTTTAACATTTTCGCAACCTGCAGTTTAAATATCCTATGTAATTATTATATTTTACAGTCCAACGAAATTATTTTCATATCCGTAATTAAATTTTTAGACACGTTAGCAGAAACTGTTCTTTTGTGTTGGATTATTTATTCAAATATCCCATAACAATGTTCTTTTTTTCACAATAATTTCTTCAAATCCAATAAGTCATACTAGATCTAATTCTTTAGAAAT